GTGTGTGTGTGTGTGTGTGTGTGTGTGTGTGTGTGTGTGTGTGCGTGTGTGTGTGTGCGTGTGTGTGTTAGGAATGACTAAAAAGAAACAAAAAATTGTCTTGTTTTATATATATCTTTGTTTTTCCTGCAATACAACTTCAGTGTCTCATCACTGTACACCTTCAAAACCCACTGGCCCTTCTCCTATAGATTAGTAGTTCGGATAATTTCAGAAGAAAGACGTTTCTATTTGTTTGTGTATAATGAGTGGAAGAGGAAATGAAGTGTGTAGTTTCAGTTTTTCTCCCATGGTGGCATTTTTTCTCTCCACAGTCTTGTTCGGGCCAGGGGCTTCAAAACACAACCACTTTTCGTCATGATTCACAAAAAAGAGATAAAGAGTGATTTTTGTGACAAAGAAGGACAGGGAAGCGGGGCAGGATGGAGCTCATGGTCCACCCCGCCACTGTTTGACACACAGACATGGCTGTTTTCTCTCTCGTGTCCCAACCCCCACCCATCCTCTCCTGGACCTTGGGCTTGGTCCATGAAGGCTCAGTAAGGGAGGCTTCTTATGGGTGGGAGAGCTGCACCAGTATCAGCCAGCTCAGAATCAGCAGCAGGGAGGGATGGATAGACTCAGCTSCGTGGTCCAAAAGATTTGGAGTGGGTAGCGTGGAGTCTTCCTCATCACCCCACAATCTGTCATTTTCATTTACCTGAGAACAAAAAAAGATGTGTTATTAAAAATCCTATTTTAAATCCACAGCTCCAATTTAAAATAAAAAAGTGGTGGCTACACAAATGTATAGGAAAACATTTGTAGTCTTGAATCACAATCTCAGCTGGTAAATATTTAAATTTTATATACTGTATATTAGAAATACTGACATCACATAACAGTTTGTGTTCAGACACAGAGAACCAAATGAAGCTTTCAGGTTTTATCCACTATATTCTATGAGCACAAATTCCAGTCCATAGATTTATCTATGAAAACAAAACCCGTCTTAGAACAGCATCGTGGTATGATTAAACCATTGTCTCAAACAAGATCGTTTCATCATACCTGTCCTTTCAACTATTGAAGAATATGAGGACGGATCCGAAGACTTGTTGTTTTACAAATTTAAGCTGTCTTATTGCATTTGGAAAGCGACGAATACAAACTCAGTGTAAATGAAAAAGATTTTTTCTGTGACCACTTTCAGAGGTGGTCTGGACCTCTCTTATCTGCTCACGTTTAGCCGTCTAAACACAATCTGTCTTAATCCTCAAGGACCACCTACTAAACACACACACACACACACACACACACACACACACACACACACACA